TGAAGGGATGGGGTCATCAGCCAAGCAGGGGAGGCTTCATGCAGCAAACGGCTGCCTTGGCAGAGGAGGGGGCTGACCGTTCTTCCTGACGCTAAGGCAGGGTCGAGCCCTGGAGGAGGTCGTCTTCATCTGTACTAGGAACAGTTTCCTAACATGCAGAGTGTCTCCCAGAATGGAGTTAGCTTCCTGTCACAGTGGGCACTAAAGCAAAGGGTGCCAGACTAGCTCACAGTCAAAGAGGATGTAAAGGAAAAAAAAAAAAACAAAAACAAAAGATAAAAAAAAAAAAGAGGATGTAAAGGAGTGCTCCACCTGCCAGAATGCAGGATCAGGGGAGCCCTGAGTCTGAGCCTACTGACCTCAGGCACACACCTACCTGTACAGCCTCTGTCCCCAGGGTGGTCAGTCTGCCATCACTCCTGGGTTCCAGTGACCTAGAATTAATAGGGACAGTGCCAGGGTGGCCTCCCACATGTGGCTGCAGCATCCTGGACAGGCCATTTGAGACGTGTTCTTCATTTGGGCCAAGATGCCATCACTAAGGTGCAACTCTCTCTCTATCATGAACAAAGACAAGGGGAAAAAGCAAAAACGTTCTGAGTCACAGAGTTGGGGACTGTGGACCACGCGAAACTCAACTTCTACAATCCGGAGACTGGAGCTAGCTGGTTTCTGGCTACAGCTGCTGGCCAGCCATCCTGAAAGGGACCACAGCGGAGTGTCCTAGGTAGTCATTACGGTTAGATGCTGTTGAGCTGGAAGTAACCTATAGCTCCAGTGGGTTTTCAGACGCTGTAAACTGCACAGGAGAAGAGATAGCCCATCTTCCTCACTCAGAGCAACTAGTGGACTCGAACTGCTTGCCTTAGGATTAGCAGCACAACCAGAGCCGCTGGAAAGACCAGGGTCCAGTAACCGATAGGTGTAATCTGAATAACAACACAAGTCTACCTGTCACCAAGTTTCAGAGGCTGTAAGACCTGCCGGGAGGACACGGCCCCGTTCATCTTCCTCCTGACAGCCCTAGGCCAAGCAGGACAACTCACTGGGGACTCGGTCACAGAAGCTCAGTGTCCCCTTCCCCTCCCTCCCACTCTCCTTTCCACCTTAGTCTTGAGACACTGCCTCTGCTCGAGATCTCCTATGCATGTGCTTGTGTGATAACGCAATCACTGACTTAGTTCACTCAGCGTTATGTTTTCACCGGTCTTTTTAAGACCAACACTTACTGAGCATGTGTCTGCTCAGAGCTGCGCTCAGAACTAGACAGAGGGGTCCTAGCCTGTATTCAGGGGGGAGTCAGCAAACCGGGTGTATAGTGTACCCTATAAACCCCCAGATGCCTACACATATGCTGCACTACGTGCTGCACTAGTTGACTTTTCTAAGGCCTGTTTTCTCTCTCAGGAGCTCTGCTTTCCCCAGCAGACTTGATTTTCTAGTCTCTTCCCAGAATGAGGGTAAACTGACCATTCCGCCTACTCTTTTTAGCCATGCTGCAGAACTAGATCTTCATCGAGCATGTGATGGCTTTTCCCTTACACTAAGCTGTGTTCTGCTGGCATTTCCCATCAGCCTGGCAGCACTTAGCTTTGCTGTGGCCTGAGGTGGTTTGTGTAAGCGTGTAAGGCAGTTAGCGGCTCCCCGGCTCCAGCAGTCCAGCCCCAGCCCGTTGCCACCCATTTGTGCAGCACTATATCCTCCTCCCAGTATATAAGCTTCCTGTCCCAGTAAACTAATGTTTCTTAATTTGTCTCTGTCAGTTTTCAATCTGTCTGTGACCACGAACCTCAAGGGACTTTCCCTCTGGGGAACAAGCCCCAACACCAGGAGCAAAACACTGGTGCAATAGCACTATCAGAGAATACAGTGAGTGCAGAAAGTGAGGGGTCAGAATCAGAGAAGGCTTCTCTGAGGCAATCAAAACCCAAAGTCGGGGAGCTTTGGTGGCCTAGTGGCAAGAAGCTGCACTACAATCCCAGAGGAACATGGTTCGAATCCACCAGATGCTCTGCCGGAGAAGGAGGCGCAATATCCTCCTGTACCAGTCAGATCTGATTTGACGGTACACTCACACAAAATTTAAAAACAAAAACAAAAAAACACCCAAAGCCATTGCCTTCCACCTGACTCCATCTCACTGTGACCCTACAGGTCAGAGCAGACTGCCTCCTGGGGTTCCCAAGAGGCTCTGAAGCTGTGACCTTAGCGTACTGCCTACTCTTTCTCCTAGCAGAGTAGCTGGGAGATTCAAACTGCCCGCCTTTTGTTAGCAGCCAAATGACTTAGCCATTGCTCTGCCAGAGCCCCCCTTTCTAAGGAGGTGACCAAGGGTGTCACTTTAAAGCTATGGTATCCCTTTCAAGGCAGGATATCTTCCAGTGCTTGCTATGCATCTCAAAGCTGAACAATTACTATGAAAGTGTGAAGAAGAATCGATGTCTTTGAATTGTGGTGCTGGCGAAGAGTGTTGAACATAACATGGACCACCAAAATACACACATCTGTGTATCTAGGAAAAAGTATAGCCAGAGTACTGCTAGAAGCAAGAACACACGCTTTGGGGATGTTGGCAAGAGGGACAATTCTCAGAAAAGACTATCACACTTGGAAAAAATGGAGGGTCAGAGAAAGCAGAAGATCCCCAACTGGGTGACTAGAACAATGACTGGAACAGTGGCCTTACGCTCAGCAGAACTGTGGGAATGGCACAGGACCGGGTGGGGTTCCAGTCTGCTGTGCGAGGTGTCGCACTGTGAGTTAGAGTCAATGACAGTTAAGATATCATCACAGACCAAAGACCCTACACTTTGTCGTCATCATCACTCAGGGTTTCAATCCTTTGTCATTGCCCGGCCAGGGACAGAAAACTCCATGTCCCCGGGGTCCCCCAAGAAGCAGCCCTAAACTGCAACAAATCCTCAGTTCCCACAGAGCCAAGGACGGGTGTGAAGGAGTGTGGTTTGGAGGATAAGATAGCATTCAGATTTGTTGTTGACAGGGTCGCTATGAGTCATCCTCGACAGCACCTAACAATAACTGAGAAAAGAGCCTTAGCGGAATGGTTCAAAGCTTGCTTTCTAACCACAAGCTGACGGCTCCGCAGGAGTAACATTTGGACGCTCGCTCCTGTAAAGATGACCGCTTTATTTTATTTTATTTTATTTTATTATTTTTGTGTGAGTGTACCGTCAAATCAGATCTGACTGGTACAGGAGGAGATTGTCCCTCCTTCCCCGGCAGAGCATCTGGTGGATTCGAACCGTGCACCTCTGGGATTGTAGTTGCAGCTCCTTGCCACTAGGCCACCAGAGCTCCCCAGATGACCGCTTTTTAAACCCCAGAGGCCAGTTCTATTCCATCTTCTAGGGTCTCCAAGGCACCCAACAATCGCCCATGTGTAGGAGGTGCTGGCTGCAGTCAGGACGCGTCTCACCGCCTTCAAGAGCAGTAATAAGTGCATTCCAGCCAGGAAGGCCCCAGAGCGCCCCATCTGCAGGTTCCGCCTTACAGCGCAGAGAAGAACTGCATCTAGGCTTTCCAACGCTGTCAACTTCACAAAAGTTGCGTGGGTTTGAACCAACTGCCTTTTGATCAGCAGCAAGTGCTTCAACCACTGTAGTCCTCTGAACATACAAACTTTAAAAATTTAAACTGTGGTCAAGTTTTAATTTAAATTTTAAACTGTGGTCAAGTTGGAACCGATTCATAGTTGATCCTCAGACGGCTTTCCGAGGCTGTATATTGCACGGGAGGAGATTTCCCATCTTTCTCCCAAGGAGCAGCTGGTGGAAATGAACAGCCAGAGATGTACCACCTCTGGGTTCGCACCGCACACCCCAAGGACTAGGTCACTAGAGCTCCACATAGTAGGAGCCACCACCCTCTTTACTCCCAAGTTTGCTCTCCCTGGGCCTGGTTTCTCCCACTGTCCCTTTGCCTTCACCACTGGCTGCGATCAGGTCACGATCCCTGGAGCCGCTGCACCCCCCGAGGCAGAAGACCGGGGGCTCTCACTATGAAGCAGTGAGAGTGGCAGGTGCGTAGAAAGTGACTGGCCAGCAACTTGCGGCCCAGAGGCCTCCGCCCCGCCCCTCTGGCTCGGAGGCCACGCCCTCTGCCCCGTGGCCACGCCCACGCCGGAGCAGGCCCGGTCTGCGCGGCTCCTTTAAGGCAGCCCAGCGGGCCGAGAAGAGCGCGTCTCGCCCCCTCCGACGCCGCCGAGGTAGCTGCTTCACCTTTAAGGCGGCGCGGGGGCTGCTGGGAAGGCCGGCGGGATGGAGGCGGCTGGACAGACTCACGGCTGCGGGTGCCGGTGAAGCGGGGCAGGAACTGGGGCAGGAGCCGGGGCCGAAGCCGGAGCGGGAGCCGGGCCGAGCAGGAGGCGCAGGTCGGCGCGAGCCCATAGGGTCGGGAGAGGCTCGGGCTCACATGGGCGGCGGCTCCGGCGGTCTGGGGAGGGGGCGTCGGGGGCGCGGCCTTTCCAGGGGAGGGTCCTCCGGGCGCACCCGGGCCTGGCGGGAGGAGGTGCGGTGGGCGCGGCTTGGAGGGTCGGGAACTTGGGTCTCCAGGAAAGGGTCCCTTCGGGTTTGGCCTGCCCCTGGGATCGCTCCTGGCTCAGCCGGCCTGCCGGGGAGGGAGCTCGCGGGCCCGGAGACCCCCACGGCCGCCCCGGCCCCGTGCCCTGGCGCGCCCCGCCCTGGACACGGGCAGCCCCGAGCCGGAGCGGCCCGCAGCCGCCGAGGTCCTGGGCCGAATCCGGCTCCGGCCGCACCAGCCGCACCGCATTGCGTCTCCGGGGCCGAGACGAGGCGGGCGCGCCCCCTGTAGGCCAGGCGTGGGCGGTGCGGGCTGCGGCCGGGGGACCGGACACCCGGGAGACCCAGCGCTCGGGGAGCTGCGCTGTTTACCTAACCCGGGGCGGACGGCGGTGTGGCCCAGGCCCGGCGCCCGTCTGCCGCCCCCTCGCCTTCGCAGGCCGCGCGGCCATGGCCACCACGATGGTGCTTCCGCGGGAGGAGAAGCTGAGCCAGGATGACATCGTGCTGGGCACCAAGGCCGTCATCCAGGGGCTGGAGACGCTGCGCGGGGAACACCGTGCCCTGCTTGCGCCCCTGGTCGCGCACGAGGCCGGTGAGACGGAGCCAGGCTCGCAGGAGCGCTGCGTTTTCCTGCGTCGCTCCCTGGATGCCATAGAGTTGGGGCTGGGGGAAGCCCAGGTAGGCGACCTGGGGCGCCCGGGTGGGAGAGGTCGCCGTCCATACCAGTCTTCCCGAGGCAGGAGTAGAATCTGAGCAGAGAACCATCTACCCCTAGAAGCCAATTTGTTAGGTTTAAAAACACAACCACCCATCACTTTTCAGTCCTTTCCAGCTCCGAGCAACCTTACAGGACAGAGTAGAATTGCGACCCCAATAAATACCTGTTGGAATGAATGCTTTTGGGGGGGCCCAGCTCTGCCCCAGGAAAACACTGGCTCCTCAGCCTCCATCCCCTACCCAGCACCCTGGCTCCCCTCTGTACTAGAAACCTGCCTAGAATAACAAACATCTTTAGGGAAACACTCCCTAAAATTCTTCGTTCTCTTATTCATAGGCAGACAAATTATTAAGTGCTTACTAAGGTGCCAGGGACACAGGGGCCAGTGAGCTGGTCCTGGTCCAGTAGGAATGAGGGACAGAAACACGTTCACAATTAATTGTTACAAATTGTGGGAAGTTCTAGAAGACAAGAACGAGATCTCGTGATCGTTGATAGCAACCTATTGGCCAGGCAAGCACATTCCCCTGAGGACCTGGCATTTAAACCAAGGTCTGAAAGAAGGACAGAACCAGCCTCCTGGGCAGGGAGGGAGGAGAGCAAGCGCATGGTTAGAGACCCCAAGTTAGGAAAGGTCTCGTCCAGATGAGGGAGGAGTTGACCCTTGTACCTGGAGCTTCCCCAGGGAGGACAGGCGGGACTGCAGAGGGGAGCCAAATCCTGCTGCATCTCGTTAGTTTTATTCCCAGGAAAGTGAGAAGACTTTGGAGGGTTTTCTGGAGAGCAGGGGACATGGTCTGCCCTAGGGTTAAACACTACCCTAGCAGGTGAGTGGGGAGCTAGAATTGAAGTGAGTCCAGCTTAGGCCTTTTTAGTGGATGGAGGTGAAGGGCAGAGCTCCAGAAGTGGGCCTGAGAGGGGAAAGTGTGGCAACTCCCAGGCCTGTGGTCTGAGCCAGGGAATTGACTTGGAGCCTGGTGGTGTTCAGTCTGTTTGGCCTGGAATCAGAGCTGCCAGGAGGACAGGCAGGTGGAGAAGTCCATGGGGCAGCGGGGCGGGGCGGGCCGTGAGTCTCTCCGAGCACACACAGGCCTGGCTCGAATCCTGGGCAAGTTGTAGTCTCTTGGTTTTCTTGTCTATAAAATAGGAGTCAGTGCCATCTGGTGCGTGTACTTCCGGGCTGCATAGGGAATGTTTTTTTACAAGCTAGTGGTTGTGAGAACACCTGCCATCAGGCATTTGCTAGCCAACTAGAAAGCAGCGCAGAGCCCAGGCCATGGGCCTGAGAGGAGTGTGTGGTCGTTGCTCAAGCCTCAGCCACTTGGCTCTCCAGATGCCAGATGGGCACACAGGAGCCCCACCCTGGAGCACAGGAAACAAGGCTGGAGCCAGGTGTGAGCTGGTACAGTTGGGGAGGAGCCCTGGGAGGCGTCTTATGCCAAGGGTGGAGCCTCCCGCCCAGGTGCTACCACAAGAACCTGGTGGCTAAGAAAAGAGTGATTTGGGGTAAGGGCCTGAGTCTGAGGCCTCAGGGTGCCTTTATCTGCCCTGTGGGTTGTTGGGGTCCCCCCTGCCCTCCCTGGTTGCTATGGAAGGATGGAGTGCCTGGATCCTTGGGGCAGGATCAGGCTGTGGTCTTTGAGCCCTTTGATCAGGGAAGGAGTAGTCCTGGGCACGCACACAGGGAAAGGCTCCATGGATTGGTGAGCCAAGAGCCTGGAACAAGGTGGACTTGCTCCGAGTCCAGCAGGGCCCAGGACTCCTGACTCCATGAGGAAGGAGTGGGGACCCCAGGCAAGCCCTCTAGGCTCAGGCCTCAGACTTTCGTCTGGAAGGGAGGAATCCTTGGGAGGAACTTCTGGGGGAGGCCTAGCAGCTCCCCCCGCCTGCTACACTTCAGGGCTCACAGAGCCGGCACATGGCAGCCTCTGCCCCAGGTGCACAGGGCTCTCTGACCCTCGACTGGTTGGCTGCCGCAGGTGATCCTGGCGCTATCGAACCACCTGGGGGCCGTGGAGTCGGAGAAGCAGAAGCTGCGGGCGCAGGTGCGGCGCTTGGTGCAGGAGAACCAGTGGCTGCGCGAGGAGCTGGCGGGGACACAGCAGAAGCTGCAGCGCAGCGAGCAGGCCGTGGCCCAGCTGGAAGAGGAGAAGCAGCACCTGCTGTTCATGAGCCAGATCCGCAAGTTGGATGAGGACACGTCCCCTAGCGTAAGCCCACCCGCTTCCAGGGAGGGGCTTCTGCGGACCCTGCCTCCCACTCTCATCCTGGTTCTGTCTTCTCCCAGGAGGAGAAGGGAGATGTCCCCAAAGACTCTCTGGATGACCTGTTTCCCAACGAGGACGAGCAGAGCCCAGGTGCCACTGCCTGTTGATTCTAGGGTAGGGGATAGGGAGGGTTTGTGAGCTTCTGGTCCTGGGACCCCCAGGGTGTCAGGAAATAGAGGCCAAGAAGAGGTCACCATGCTTTTTCCTGCCTTATTCCTCTTGTCCACACGTCACCCTGCTAGAGCTCAGAGGCTGGCCTTCCATGATGGTTCTCTCCATCCGAGTTTCAGGCAGGGACAGATGTCATAGTTAAAAGCTTTGGAGCAGCCAGGCCTGTCACACATTGCTCTGTGACTGCCAGTATGGTTCCTTCTCCTTAGCAAGTTTCTCCAGGTAGTTAGAACCCCCTTTCCTCTGAGAGTGAGCCAGGGTCTGCCTGCCTGGCCTCCAGTTCAGAGCACATGATGGAGCTGGCGTCCGACAAGCGAGGGAGCTGGGCTGCAGGGCGGGCAATGTGCTCCAAGGACATACAACTTGACATACTGGAGATGGGACTCCAGACTCGCTCTCTGTGACCTCAGGGAAGGGCAAGGTGACTCACCCCTACAGTAAGGGGAGCCAGGCAGAGTTAGTCAGTTCCTGGGACCACCCATGCTGGTGTGTGTTGCCTCTGACCTCTTGCCCTTGGCCAGCAGCCCCCAGCCCTGGAGGAGGGGATGTGGCTGCCCAGCATGGAGGCTACGAGATCCCTGCCCGGCTCCGTACGCTGCACAACCTGGTGATCCAGTACGCCTCACAGGGCCGCTATGAGGTGGCCGTGCCACTCTGCAAGCAGGCGCTCGAGGACCTGGAAAAGACTTCGGGCCACGACCACCCTGACGTGGCCACCATGCTGAACATCCTGGCGCTGGTCTATCGGTGAGGACCGTGACCCTGAGGTGGTACCCAGAGGGGCTGAACCCACTAGAGCCAGGCCTGTAGGCCTGGGGATGCAGATATGAACACTTCATGTGGTGAAGAAAGTCCTGGACATAGCAGCCTGAGATGGCAGCCCGTGAGAACTTGGGGAACCAGGGTGCCTGCATTTCTTCTCCAGGGCTTGAGTGGAGCCTTTGATCGAAGATGAGTTTGCGCAGAACACAAGAGGGTGGGAAGATAGCAGGGACGGGACCACGGCATTTGGTGGTAGAACTTTTTCCAGCTAGGCTTTAGGGGTGGGGCAGGGCCTGCGGGCGGGGTCACAGCACACCCCACTCTCATGCCACTATTTGTGGGAGGTTGTTCCCAGATGGCATAGGCTGGCCAGATTTCTCCGTGCTCTGGAACATGCTCACTGACCAGAAAATACAGGGGTGACCTCGGGGATTACAGGAGGTCACTGGGTGACATGGGGGAAAAGGAACAGGCTGGAGGTCATCCCTCATTCTGTTCCTGCCCTTTCCTAGGGATCAGAATAAGTACAAGGAGGCTGCCCATCTGCTCAACGATGCCCTGGCCATCCGGGAGAAGACACTGGGCAAAGACCACCCAGCTGTGAGTGAGGGCTGTCCCCCAACCCTGAGCTTCTGGGCTGCAGAGCCCCAGCCCAGCTGGGCTCTGTGCCATAGAGCTGCCGTTCTCCCCACCCCCAGGTGGCTGCAACGCTGAATAACCTGGCAGTTTTGTATGGCAAGAGGGGCAAGTACAAGGAGGCAGAGCCACTGTGCAAGCGGGCACTGGAGATCCGTGAGAAGGTGGGAGCCAGCAGGCAGCTTTGGGGGGCCAGGGGACTAAGCAGGTAGAGGCACTACACAGGTGATGACCTAGGCAGGTACGCTGGGCGCTGGCCAGATGGGAGCCCAGAGCCCGGGTTGCTCAGCAGGCCGGCGCTAGTCAAAGCGGAGGCAGCAGACCCTGGATGCCACTGGTCCCCAAGCCCAGCCCTGGCTCCTGTCCTAGGTCCTGGGCAAGTTCCACCCTGACGTGGCCAAGCAGCTGAGCAACCTGGCCCTGCTGTGCCAGAACCAGGGCAAGGCTGAGGAGGTGGAGCACTACTACCGACGGGCACTGGAGATCTATGCCTCCCGCCTCGGGCCCGATGACCCCAACGTGGCCAAGACCAAGAACAACCTGGTGTGCTGGGGCGGGGGGGTGCGGGGAGCGGGCGTAGGCAGGCTTCCTGCCCCTGCTCACCCCAGGGCCCTTGTCCCCCAGGCTTCCTGCTATCTGAAGCAGGGCAAGTACCAGGACGCCGAGACCCTGTACAAGGAAATCCTCACACGAGCACACGAGAAGGAGTTTGGCTCTGTCAATGGTGAGCCCACTCGGCCTCGCCTCCAGCGTGGGCACATGGCCATGTCCCACATGCAGAGCTCATGTGCACCTGGCATGGGCATGAACACATGATCAAAGCTCACATGATCACACCAGTGTGCACACCGTGTACAGGGCAGCTCACACGTAACTACCACACGTACACACATAGCTAACGTGGGAGTCCACACACGGTCCACACATAACCACACGTACACACATAGCTAACGTGGGAGTCCACACACAGTCCACACATAACCACACGTACACACATAGCTAACGTGCGAGTGCGCACACGGTCCACAAATAGCTAATATGCGAGTGCACACAGTCTACAGTCACACGGAATCACACAGATGCACACACAGACCCTGCGTGGCATCCAGGCTCTGCCAGGCCATCTCATGGCATGCCCCAGGCTTGGCCCAGCCTCTCCGCCTCCCCACTGGGCCCCTCCTGCTGATCTTGGGCCCAGCCTGTGTCCTCACCTCCTAGAAGTTGTTTTCTGACCCCCGTGGTCCATTAGTCGTTTCTTGCTCTGGGGTCTCTTAGAGCTGTGAGCGAAGACAGCATAGATCTCCAGGCCACTCACCTAATAGCGCACCTCTGCACAGCCTTACCAAGCTCGTTTGTGTGTAGAGCAGGCATGGCAGAGATGGGGTCTATCGTCTGTTTCTTCTTAATCATTGATCAAAGCTCCACCTTGGCCCTTTTTGGTGCCTCCCCACCCACCCCAGACCCCAGAGCCTGTCTGCAGGAGAAGCCTGTTGAGAGGCTAGGGAACAGCCCCCTTTCTCCCCACAGGAGACAATAAGCCCATCTGGATGCACGCAGAAGAACGGGAGGCCAGCAAGGTAGCTCTCGGGCGGGGCGGGGCGGCTGTCAGGAAGGTGAGCAGGCTGGGGGGTGTGCAGGGGAGCACTTTCTTCCCTGTTCCTGCCTTCTCCCCCTCAGGATAAACAACGGGACAGCACCCCATACGGGGAGTACGGCAGCTGGTACAAGGCCTGCAAAGTAGACAGGTGAGAGCGATGGGCTGAGCCGGAGCCAGCACTCTTGAGTTGGGGCTGCCCAGACCTGGCGCACACCCCTCTTCTGCTCCAGCCCTTCTTTCAAGGCCAAAGCCTCAAGGCCTACCAGGTTCTCTGCCTCCTGGTGGCCCAGCATGCTGGCCTGGTGGCAGCATCCCCCTACCATCTAGAGCAAGCTTTCCAGCCCTGGGTGACCCCACAGAGCTAGAGGCCAGGCAGGCCTGGCACATGGCCAACCACATGGGTGGAGCTCTGATTCCACAGAGTCTGGTGTGGGCTGGGTACCCACTGCCCCCATAGAGCATGGAGGCTGACTTTCTTCTCGGCCACCCACAGCCCCACAGTCAACACCACTCTGCGCAGTTTGGGGGCCCTATACCGGCGCCAGGGCAAGCTAGAAGCTGCACACACACTGGAGGACTGTGCCAGTCGCAGCCGAAAGCAGGTGGGGTCACATGCATGGAGTGTGCTGGGGACTCCAGGTGCCACCCTCACAGGCCTGATGCTCCTAACCCCTCTCCCAGCAAGTTAGACTAAGGCAGTGGTGGTTGTCAAGTCAAATATGACTCATAGCAGCCCTGTGAACAACAGACCTGAATCCCATCCTATCCTGTGCCTCCTCATTACCTCTGACCCACCTGACATATTGCTGCAGTCACTGTGTCCCCATCTTGCTGGAGTTCTTCCTCTCCATCACTGACCCTCCACCCTTCCAAGCATGACATCCTTTTCCAAGGGATAGTCTCTCACACCAACATGTCCAAAGTATGAGAGACGAAGCTTTGTCATCCTTGCCTCCAAGGAGCACCCCGGCTGCACGTTTTCCAAGACATACATGCTTGAGCTGTTAAAAGATGTCAGCGGGGGGCGTGGAGACCGCCGCAGCAGAGACATGGCAGGGGGCACCGGTCCTCGGGCCGAGTCTGACCTGGAGGACACAGGGCCCACGGCCGAGTGGAACGGGGTGAGTGCCTGGCCTGGGCAGGTGGAGGCCTGGCTCCAGGCAGACAGAGATGAAGACCTTGTCCCCACAGGATGGCAGCGGCTCCTTGAGGCGCAGCGGCTCTTTCGGGAAGCTCCGGGATGCCATTCGGCGCAGCAGTGAGATGCTGGTGAAGAAACTGCAGGGAGGGGGCCCCCAGGAACCCCCTAACCCCAGGTGAGCATCTCAAAAACTCACCCAGCCTCACCAGCACCAGAGGAGTCCTGACCTCAGAATGAGTCCTGATGGCTGACCACCATTAAGTCTGCCCCAGGCCAGCATCCCTCTGCCCCAACCAGGCCCCCCACCTGTTTCACCCTGGACAAACCCACCCTCCTTTCCCTCAGGATGAAGCGGGCTAGCTCCCTCAACTTCCTCAACAAGAGCACGGAGGAGCCAGTCCAGGTAGGGCCAGGCAGTCCCCAAACTGGGCTCCCGAGGTCAGGCTCTCCCCTAGGTGGCGAGGACCACGGCTGCATGTCACGTATTCTTACCATGTGCTCCTTGCTGGTCATCTCTGGTGGCCACAGTGTGCCATGCCTCCCGTTTGGCTGTGAGACGGATGAGGCATGCAGTCACTGGGTGGGGGTTCCAGGACATTGAGTCATGACCTTTGGCTGCTCTTGGGTGGTGGGGCACAGCCAGGCAGCAGCAAGGCCTGAGTTTCTGCCCTCTGCCCCCAGACTGGAGGAACGGCCCTTTCTGACAGCCGCACGCTCAGCTCCAGCTCCATGGACCTCTCCCGGCGAAGCTCTCTCGTGGGCTAATGCTGAAGGGCAGCAGCTCGCCAGAGCCCCCGGGCGCTGCCCCCCAGCCCTGCGCATGGGCCTGCTGCTTGTCCCGCCTGCCCCTCCCCTGAACCCCAGTCTTTTCTGTTTAATCTCAGGGTAACCGACATCCTCCTGTCATCTCAGCCTGAGCCCCAGGCTGGACCTGCCCGCTCCAGCCCCGCCCCTTATTTATTCCTGTCAGCAGGACCCTCCCCTCAGCTGCTGGCCTTGGGGGGCTGGCCAGGTCTCTAAGGTGGAGAGACTTAGAGCTGCCCTCCCAGACCCCAGAGCTGCGACCACCAGGCACCTGCGGCCCCTTCAGCATCCTGTCCTTTCCTGGCCGTTGCTTCTGTATATAGAGAAATAAGTTATTGGCCGCATCTCATCCATTACCCCCTAAGTCCACGGTACTCTCTGGGCTCCCGGCCCTTCTCTAGTGGTACCGCCCAGGCCTTAATCACCCCCATTCTGCGCAGTGGTATCTCCCAGGCACCACAGCTGGGAGTGGGGAGGTGGCAAAGCCCCCCCCAGAGGTATCCTGGGACTACTTGCGCACCTTCTCTGCCATCGCCCCAGCCCCAGCCCCAGCCCCGGGGACCCCCTCTTTGTCCTCCCACCTTTGGGCCCTGCCCCGCACCCCTGCCTTATGCACTGCCCCTCCCGCCCGGCCCCGCCCAGGACGGCCTGGCTCCGCCCCGGGCCCCGCCCACGAGCCGCCCGCCACGCCCCCTCCACGCCTGCAGCTTGTGAAGGGCGCCGACAGCCCCCGCGCCAGGAGGGGCTGCTCGGGTTTGGGGGGTGAGGCGATCGCTCTATTTTCAGATGTTGCTGTAGAAATAAAGATGGTTTGAATCTGACCCGGGCTTGTTTGGGGGCGGAGAATCGGGCCAAGAGAGGTCGCGCGCTTGGTGAGCACGTGTGTCTTCCGCATCCCAGGCCGCTGGGACACAGATAACCTGGTGGTCCTGGGTTCCTAAGTCCTTCCAAGAAGGTTCGCCTTTCCCCACAACCTCTACCTCCACGGTCCTAGAGAGCGCAGACTTTGAGGTCCGCCCCTTCCTAAACTTGACCTTGAGTAGTACGCCCATAAAATGTAGTACCCACCTGCACACTGAAAACCTTAGCTGAGTGAACGTTGTCTTAACACCAGCACCCACCTTTTAATACAAAGATAGCAACCCTGAGGCCTGGGAAGATAGGCATGATCACCTCCGTTAGACAAAAAAGAACGACGACTCCCAGTCCCGGACTGAAAATTCAGCACAGGGACGCCTGCAAGCTCCTGCGCCCCGCCCTTCGCCAAGTCCACCTGGAGGGCGAACTACAACCCCCAGAAGGCACTGCGCCGGCGCGGGGTGACGCGGGACGCCCGCTGTACGCCTGCGCAGCGGGGAAGCGCTGAGCAATGGGGAAACCACAAGTTCCGAGAAGCAGCGCAGCGAAGCCCCAGGTTGGAGCGTCTGCGCCTGCGCGGTGCGGGCGGGGCCTCTGGGGCGGAGCGGCCACCATCTTGGAACGGGAGGCGGAGCAGAGCCGACTGGGAGCGACCGAGCGGGCCGCCGCCGCCGCCATGAACCCCGAATAGTGAGTGAGCCCCGCCCGCGCCGGCCGGCGCAGCCTCGATCCCGAATACGGGGCTGTACGCTTGCCGGGGTTGTCCGGCCTGGGTCAGGACTGCGCGGCGCCCCCACATCCGGGTCTTTCTTCCGCTGAACACCCCGCACACACATCCGGGTCCTGCCCCTCCCCCCGGGGACCTCGGGACCCTAGCTTGACACCCCGACTCCTCGCACCCCGCGCCCAAAGAAGGCAACCCGGAGGGGCGGTCCTTGGGGTCTTCAGCATTGGCCCTAGAGACCTTAACGGTCGGTGACCTCGCAGCCCGGGTCTCGCCTGGCCTCAGTTTCCCCACCTGCTGCTGGAAGGTGGCGGCAGCCTCAGTGCGGACCAGTCACGCCTTAGGGACCTGTCACTGTCGTCTGGTCTCGAGTGTCAAGTCAGGCCCTGACCCTGCCCCGAGTCCCGATGACCCGACGTGGGAGGCCCGGGGCGCTGCTCCCGCCATCCCTCCTCGTCGGCACTGAAGTTTTAAGGAACGTGGGGTTCGCTCCCCACTTCGGGTTTCCTTGCTCTTCACGCCCCTAGGACAAGCCTGGTAGCCGGCCACTGACAGTTCCCCCCAGGATCGGTTATCAGCTTCCTCTTCTGCCACTTCCCTTCCCTCTGGATCCAGCCCGAGGTTTCCTCGGGGAAGGGCCAGCTCTGGCAGGATTATAAAGGGGAACAGAGAAGGGGACCCGCAGGCTGGCAGAAACCCAGCGTGACAGCCTGGTTTCCGGTGGTCAGCCTCGCAGCTGTGTCCTAAAGCACGACCCCCCAGCCCCCTGCTCGGGAGTTTCATTAGATGGGAATGAGCACACAGTTCACTGGACAGCACAGGACTCAATGACAAGAGCCATCCCCAGTTTCTATTACAGGACCGGACAAAGTGGGAACTCGGTGACCACTTGTTGACCGCTTCTGTGTAGTGGCTTCATGCTCGGCGTGGTGTAGTTTGTCATTCCATAACTTCTGGGCCAGACACCCCTGCTGGGCTGGGCACCCACCTGCCACATAGCAGGGTTTCTCTCAATAGCCCAGAAGGTGTGGAACCCCCTGAGTCTGGCAGGAATATCCCAGGAGGATACCTGTCACCCCTAAATCGGATCCTTGGCAAGTCACACCCCTGTCTGTGCCTCAGAGTCCCCTGTAAAGGGGGCTTCCACCTCAGCAAGCTGTCTGCCCTCAGTAGCTGTGTACTGGGGGACGGGAAGGAGGGTGGGAAGCATGCTGCAAATGAGGCACAATTATGGGGTCCTGGTTGTGATTCTGTCTGTCTCTGCACCTTTCCATTCTTTCTCTCCAGTGACTACCTGTTCAAGCTGCTTCTGATTGGCGACTCAGGCGTGGGCAAGTCGTGCCTGCTCCTTCGGTTTGCTGTGAGTAAGAAGTCGTCCGCACTGTCCCACCTGGGGTCCTGCCCTATGGGCAGAGGGGACGGGCAACCTGGAGCACCAGAGAGAGGCCTGGGCACCCATTCATAGTCTGTCTGACAGCAGCGGGGCTAGTCCACCAGTGCCCAGAGCCTTGAACTGAGCGGGCACAGGGGCTGCAGGGAGGGTCCCGGGGGGTCCACAGCCCCTCACCAACCCCACCCTTCCAGGATGATACGTACACAGAGAGCTACATCAGCACCATCGGGGTGGACTTCAAGATCCGCACCATCGAGCTGGATGGCAAAACCATCAAACTTCAGATTGTGAGTGGTTCCCAGAGCCCCTGTACCAAGTGGGAGGTAGCTCTGGGCGGGCATACGGCTGACAGTGTCCCCCTCCGTCTCGCAGTGGGACACAGCCGGTCAAGAGCGGTTCCGGACCATCACCTCCAGTTACTACCGGGGAGCACATGGCATTATCGTGGTGTACGATGTCACAGACCAGGTACTCCTGGCATCCCCAGCTCCGGCTCTGTCCCTGCCTGGTTCTTGGCATTACTTGTCATCTCTCCTTGATGTTGTGGGACTTGTCTCACCAGGAGGGGAGCGGACCCTCCAAGGTTTTCTCTCCCTAAGTTTGCTCCCTCATTCTAGACCTTCTGGGCACCTGTGGTTGGTGGCGGTCAGTCACTTGGCTGGCCTCCTGCGCAGGGCCTATGGCCTTTTCTGTGTAATTCATGATGGGAAAGCCACCAGCTCATAGGCTGAGGGTGGCAGCCAAAACCAGCCCTGCAGTCCTGCCGTTTTCCAAAGCTCAGTATCCATTGTGCTGTCTGGTGTGACCTTTTCCAGACGTCTGTGTGTCGTTCCCGTCTTACAGATGAGAATGGGTGGGGAGAAAGCCTGGGTCTTCGGTTTCACTTGCTGTGCTGCTTCTCCCAGCTGCCTGCTTTCCAGGGCCCTAGACCCCACAGTGTAGGGTTAGGGGTTGCCTCCAGCACCCATAGGCCAGGAGGGGTCCCTGCTCTGAGGGTTACTAGGGCTCCGTAGCTCTCCAGGGTCTCATGAAGCCAGCTTCCCACTTGGCCGCCTTCACTCCAGGACAGCGTCACCCCGGACTCTCTGCCAAGTCCGTGACCTCCTTTCGGTTCATGCCCTATGCGACCTCTGGGGCCCTGAATGTCCTTTTCTGCTCTCTCCTGGAAAAGCTGGTGGTCCCCAGATCCCCAAGCCCCCTATACACCCTCCTCGTGTACTGATTTTTCCTCGTCAGTGTTTCACACCCATCCTGCCCTGCTCTCCACAGCCCTCTGCCCCGCACTGTCTCCTCGCCCTGCCTGCGTGGTTCTGGTTGCTGTCCTGGTTCAGACTTCCAGCCCATATGCTGTTCTTTGGCCTTCTCAGCAGCTTCCCTCTCCCCTCGGTCAGACCCAGTCCTTGACGTGTTCGCCTTAACATCAGTCAGCCAGCGGAGGAATTGGGGGCTCTCTGCTTTCCAGACGAGGTGGGGGTGAGAGGAAGTGTGCTGTGCTCTGAAAGCAGCACTCGGACCTCACCTCTCCTTCCGGGCAGCATCTCTGAAACCACCCCCATCTTACCATCCCCCAAAACAGCTCCTGCAGCCTCCTTTTCATGACAGAATCTGTCAGCCTTCCAGGAAACTGACCAGGAAACTTCTCTTCCCCCACCCCCTCATCCTGTCACCATTCTCTCTCTCCGATTGTCCCGGCCCCTCGTGATAATAGCAGTGATGAGGATAATGGCAGCTCCTGCTAATTGAGCTCTTGTTAGGAGACAGGCTGTGCTCAATGCTCACGTCTCAGGCCCACCACAGCCCCACTGAGGTACTGTCTCACAGGGGGGAGGAAACTGAGGCCCAACGAGGTCAGGCCGTGCAGTGAGTGACCAAGCCAGGGCTCAGTCCCACGGTGGTCTGCCTAAAGTCCACACTCATCCAGGCCTCTCTTCCTGGGTTCCCCTAGCTGCTTCCTGCCAGTCTGGCCCCCGCACCCAGGCTGGGATTATCCTTGTGAAGCACAGGGTAGTCCACTGTCCCCCTTCCAGAGAAAGTCTCCATGGTTGCTGGTGTCCCTCCTCTCCCTCTCCATTGCACTTCCCCCCTCCCTTGGAGTCCCCTAGAGTGAGCATGTCCCACTCCACCCCTTCCACCTCACACACAGGCTCGGTCAGCCTGGCCCCGACAAGCAGATGTTTTCTGGGGGCTCTATAAGCCACTGTCCTCCACCCCTGAAGCTCTGTCATCTCATCTTGCGTATGTCCTCATCCGTCCCCAGGTATAGGTCCCCATTCTGTGTCAGCAGCGCTCAACCTGGATTGTAATGAGTGTTATTTGGGCTCAGTGTTGTGGCACCAGGCCTCTGGCTTCTCAGTGTGGCTCCAGCTGGGGAAAACCTTCCCAGAAGGTTCTGTCCTTTGTCCACAGAGGGTGGCCAGCTGCTGGGAGCGTCTGAGGCTGCACGATAGGACTGTTGGCACCAGCAGCAGGCCGAGCGCTGGGCTCTGTTCCCAGGACACCTGTCTCCCTCCCGGGCAGGGCCTGTCTTAGGGCACCTTCCACCTCCCAACAGCTTCAAGGGCTTTGGGAACACTGGTTCCTGCTGGTCATCTCCTCTCCTCTCAGCAGCTTCGCTTCTCCCTCCCTCCCAGCCTCCCTCAGTCCTGTCTCTCTCCTGATACCACTGGGTCCTGATAGGTAGTTCAGTCTTTTCTGTGTCCCATGAAGGGGACACAGCAGCTGGGGAAGAAAACTACAACTGAGGAAAGAAAGCAGGCACTTCCTCTGGGTCCCCAAGTCTGGATACCTCTCTTGGACTCAGGACACCCGCCTTCCCTGAGAAAACCCAGTTCCCCAGACCTGGGGCAAGGTGGGTAGGGAGCAGAGTAACCTTAGACCACCTCACCCTGTAGGAATCCTACGCCAACGTGAAGCAGTGGCTGCAGGAGATCGACCGCTATGCCAGTGAGAATGTCAACAAGCTCCTGGTGGGCAACAAGAGTGACCTCACCACCAAGAAGGTGGTGGACAACACCACGGCCAAGGTGAGCTGGGCGGCACATGCGGGCGGGCCGGGCTGCAGCCCTCACCCCTCCTGCCCTCCTCTCCTCTCCTCTCTCCCCGGCAGGAGTTTGCAGACTCCCTGGGAATCCCCTTCCTGGAGACGAGTGCCAAGAACGCCACCAATGTGGAGCAGGCATTCATGACCATGGCTGCCGAGATCAAAAAGCGGATGGGGCCTGGGGCAGCCTCAGGGGGTGAACGGCCCAACATCAAGATCGACAGCACCCCCGTGAAGCCAGCTGGTGGTGGCTGTTGCTAGGAGGGGCATGTCGGGTGGGACAGGAGGGGGTGCCTCCAGATGATGCCCCTGAGGGGCCAGAGATGCCTTCCCCTTCCTCCCCTCTCCGGGGCATTTGAGTCTGTGGCTTTGGGGTGTCCTGGGCTCCCCATCTCCCTCTGGCCCATCTGCCTGCTGCCCTGAGCCCTGGTTCTTTCAGGGCCCCCAGGGGAGGACCCCAGGGCCTGTGCCTGGGGTGGGGTTTGCTCTGCGGCTGCCTCGAGGTAACTACCAGATCCCCACCACACCTTTCTTTGGGAAGAGGGCTTCTCCGTCTGTCCTCTCCTCTGCCCCCATGTATGCTGCAGTGGCTCTCTCTTTGTTCTCTTCTCCCCTCCATGCCCAAGGGCTGAGGACCCCCCTGGTCTGCTGCCCTGCTGCAGTCACTGTCCAGGGCCACGGGTAGGGCAGCGGCTCTGGAATCCAGGGTCGGACCTCAGGACAGCTATGGGGCCACGGGACCTGCAGCCCCTCCTGCGTTTCCCACCCCTCCTCCACTCAGCTCGCCGTCCAGCTGTGGCAGCCCGAGCACAGCCAAGGCAGGTGGGCGGGCAGCCGTGCAGGGCCTGTGTCTTAGCCTGGAGGAAGCCTGCTCCTGCCGCCCCCTGCCCTGCCAGAGCTGGGCCCGTGTGCTGCCTGCCCACCGCGCCCCTTTGTCCCCAAGGCAGGCGGAGGCAGAACGCCTACCGTGCCAGAGGCCAGGCACCAGCCGTCAGCCTTAACCCTCACTGTGCCAGCCCTTCCGCCCCTCCCCAGAGGCAGCACAGCTGGTGGATCCCCCCCTCCTGACCCTTGGAGCCTGAGGGACAGCTGCTCCTCTGGGGAGTGTGTGCAGCTGAGGCTGGGGTGCTTGGTCCCCCTTCCCCAAGGGTCCTAGCTCCCTGCCCTGGGCACAGCTGCTTGCTACAGAAAAGTAAACCTTGATCTTTACCTGAGAAGCCATGTCCCTTGTGCTGTCTCTTGCCTGTCCCACCCATGCCCTACCCTTCAGCTTGTATTTAAGTTCCCGGGCTGCCCTTTGGGGAGCTCCCCCCATTCCTAGGTTCCCCTCTGGTGTCATGTCAGGCATTTTGCAAGGAAAAACCACTTGGGGAAAGATGGAAAAGGACAAAAATAAATCAATAAATTTCCACTGGCCCTCGGGTGAGCCGAGGGTTTTTGCAAGGAAGTTGCTGGTGGCTCTGTGTTGTCTGTCGGCGGTGAACCAGGACAGGGCCGGGCTTGGGTGGCAGGGTGCGGGGGTCCTGACGGGGGTTCCACTTGCATGGTTGCCGTTCAAAGTCCTTGACCCACTTACGGGGCCAGGAGAGCTTTTTGTCACTGAGGCCTGTCCCCACGGGCCCAGCATGGATCTGACAGGGAGGGAGGCAGGGGCCGCACTCAGACCTGCTGTGCCCGCCAACTCCACACATCCTCACCCCAAGCAGCACTGAGCTGGGGACCCCAACACCCACGGCCCGCGTCCTAGCCCCCTCCTTGGGTTTGACTCAGTTCAAGCAGGTGTCCTGGCTTCTCAGCTTTGCACTGACGGCCGCCCACCCGTCTCAGGCCATGATGCCATGTGTGTCCAGTGAAGCACAGTGTCCCGGCCCGCAGGTCCAGGTGTGACCACGATGAGGCAGCTATGTCGGGGGCAGTGGGGAGGGGGGGCCGGGTCCGTCCCACGGTCCGCGTGCTCCTGCAGGTCGCCGGGAACCGGAACGCGGG